TATGAAAATTGTACTGGATCTGTAACAGATATGATTGATGTATTTTATTTTTAAGTTGTCAAACATTCAGTTAATGATGTGTGTTGTAACTTTTCAGGAAGGGACATTTGCAGAGACTGACTAATGGTATGACATTGTGAAAAGCAGTTACAGATTAAAATTTTTTTATTTTTGCAGATGATAGTGTCGAACAAAGAAAGAAGATCTGGATGACAAAGAGAAAAATGATGAAGAAGAAACTCCTGCACCTGTGTACAGCGCAAGTCAATTCTGGACAGTTGGTTATGAGGCAAGCAACCAGATAATCTTCTGCGTTTTTACACTTAGGAAAGCTTAATCTGATGCTCCTTATCTAAATAACTTGGATGGATTATTAGTATTTTTGGTAACAATATTTTTGTTTTGTTTTTTTTGAGGCAGAGTCTAACTGTGTCGCCCAGGCTGGAGTGCAGTGGCGCAATCTCGGCTCACTGCAAGCTCTGCCTCTCGGGTTCATGCAGTTCTCCTGCCTCAGCCTCCCGAGTAGCTGGGACTACAGGCGCCTGCCACCACACCCGGCTAATTTTTTGCATTTTTAGTAGAGACGGAGTTTCACTGTGGTAGCCAGGATGGTCTGAGTCTCCTGACCTTGTGAGCCACCACACCTGGCCCAGTATACATCTGTAACTTGTGACTGTCCACTTTCTTTTTTTTTTTTTTGAGATGGAGTCTCGCTCTGTTGCCCAGGCTGGAGTGCAGTGACGCACTCTCAGCTCACTGCAAGCTCTGCTTCCCAGGTTCACGCCATTCTCCTGCCTCAGCCTCCCGAGTAGCTGGGACTACAGGCGCCCGCCACCACGCCCTGCAAATATTTTTGTATTTTTAGTAGAGATGGGGCTTCACTGTGCCAGCCAGGATGGTCTCGATCTCCTGACCTCGCAATCTGCCCACCTCGACCACCCAAAGTGCCAGGACCACAGACGTGAGCCACAGTGCCCGGCCCACTGTCCACTTTCAAATGGTATTACACTGCCTGAGCCGCGGGGCAGTGCTCTGACCACAGCTTCCTGCTTCTGACCTGTTCTTGGTTGGTTGTGTTGCTGTATCATATGTCCAAGTGAAACATGGTATAAAGCCCACAATATGCTGTTTTTGTTTTTGCTTTAAATAGGCAATTACATTTTTTCTCCTCAAATTCGAAAAGAGAAAAAAAAGTCTGGTTTTTTTGAGACAGACTTTTGCTCTTGTTGCCCAGGCTAGAATGCAATGGCACGATCTCAGCTCACTGTAACCTCCGCCTCCCGGGTTCAAGCGATTCTCCTGCCTCAGCCTCCCTCATAGCTGGGATTACAGGCACGCACCACCACGCCCAGCTAATGTTTTTGTATTTTTAGTAGAGACAGGGTTTCCCCATGTTGGTCAGGCTGGCCTTGAACTCCTGACCTTAGGTGATCCAGCTGCCTCTACCTCCCAAAGTGCTGGGATTATAGGCGTGAGCCACTGTGCCTGGCCTCTTTTTTTTTGGAGATGGAGTTTTGCTCTTGTTGCTCAGGCTCCAGGCTGGAGTGCAATGGCATGATCTTGGCTCACTGCACCTTCCACCTCCTGGGTTCAAGTGATTCTCCTGGCTCAGCTGGGATTACAGGCATGCACCACCAAGCCTGTCCAATTTCCTATTTTTTGCATAGAGACAGGGTTTCATCACGTTGGTCGGGCTGGTCTCGAACTCCTGACCTCAGGTGGTCCACCCACCTCGGCCTCCCAAAGAACCACCGTGACTGGCCAAAAGTATTTTCTGTTAACCTACATGTTTACCATTTTGGGTCCATAAGGTTTTGTTTCTATCCTAGCTGCCTTCTGGTATCATTTTCCTTCAGTTTGGAGATGCCCCTTTACCATTTCTAGAGCTGCTGGCAGAGAAGTTTCTCAGTCTGTCACAGTATCAATTTTGGCTTTACCTCTGACTCTACACAAATCACTTCGTCTCACCTTGGGCCTGTCATGTATAAAATAGGAATCGTCTCACCTTGGGACTGTCATGTATAAAATAGGAATAAGTGGCCGGGCGCGGTGGCTCACGCCTGTAATCCCAGCACTTTGGGAGGCCGAGACGGGTGGATCACGAAGTCAGGAGATCGAGACCATCCTGGCGAACACAGTGAAAC